GGGGGGGGGGGGGGACCACCAAATTGATCGAGAAGTATTGTTATGATATAATTTTCAGTTGCCGAAGAGAAATCAAATAATTCTTTTATCTCCCGCATTGATCCTGAACTGGAATTAAAAGCCCGCCGAACCACTGAGAGAATCTGCGAAAATCTCCATATTATCGCGAACGAGCCAAGTCTCGCACTCTACAGAATCTCTGAGCACGTCAGAAAGGTGAAAACCTTATTTCTTTATTAATCTTTTGATAACTATACTTTAGGAAACAAACAAACGGATTTATTTTTTCAATATGAATCCAGGATCCAGATCCGCCAAAAATGAAATGGATACAGGATCCGGATCCGCATGATATGAATTAGAACCATGATCCGGATCCGATTAAAATGAAAAACATCCAGGATCCGGATCCGCCTAACAATAAAATGGATCCTAATAAAATAATATAAAATTTTATTAGTTATTATTAAAGGCGCTCCCACCGACTGTTGAGTCCCGGTGTGAAGTGAAACGGCTGAATGAAGTTCTAGTCGGAGCTCATTATGACGCCGAGTATGGACTACAATGCGTACAGGTAAACAAATATTGATAACAATGCGTACATCTAATTAAATATGTATTATAATGCGTACAGGTACATAAATATGAACTACAATACGTACAGGTGAATAAATATTGAGAAATACGTACAGGTACTTAAATATAGTATTATGATGCATACAGGTACATAAATATTGACTAAATGCGTACAGGTAAACAATCGGATATCCAAAAAATACAGACAGACAAATAGAGATTAATACTTTATATTTATAAATATGTTAGGTTTGAATAATTATACTTAAATTTAAATCAAACAACGGTTTTTTATTTAGGCTATGGCCGACACACTGCCAGTGTTTAGTGAAATTGAACAGTTGCTGAGAAGATCGGTTCTTCTTCAGCAGCGGTTCAAAAATGCTCCTCAGAAGAGGTAAAAATACAAGCCCCTCCCCCCCCCCATTGACACGTGTTCTATTTAAGCATTGGAGAATAATTTCGTCACAATTTTTTTTTGCATTTTACCAAGTTTTCCGGAGAACAATCATCTTATAACAAATTTTAATGTTCGAACTAGACGTAAACCTAAGTTTAAAAAATGGACTGTTAGCGAATTTAATTTGACCTCCTTCAACTGGTCCCTTTAAAGTTTAAACCTCTATCTAAGAAACAAACAAGTGTTGAATTCTGTTTAACTTCCTCCAGTGTCCCTGGAGCATGAATGCGCAAGTCAATTTTATAATGAACCCACAATTAAAATAATTATTTTTTAGCTGAACAAATAAGTATATCTCAACCATTCTTGATCAGACAAATATGTACAGGATACTGTGGTGAATTCGACATGCCACTTTATAAAAGAAGGGTCATTTGAAATTACATCTGCAGTCACTTTAATTTTGATTGGAATTGATATCTAAAGAAAGAATAATGTTCATGGCGATGAATTTTTAAAAGTGTGAACTTTATTTTTTAGTTAATCTTATTTTTTGTCAGGGTGAAACGAGAACATAGTTCTCTGATCCATAGGATATCTGTTCATCTACCCAGCGTTGATATTCCTGATCTAGCAGAGCTAAGAGATACTGCTAGGTTAGTATTCCTAATTTTGATATCCACGATCTAGCAGAGCTAAGGGATACTGGCAGGTTAGTATTCCCATCGTTAATATCCCTGATCTAGCAAAACTAAGGGATACTGACAGGTTAGTATTCCCATCGTTAATATCCCTGATCTAGCAAAACTAAGTGATACTGGCAGGTTAGTATTCCCATTGTTAATATCCGTGATCTAGCAAAACTAAGGGATACTGGCAGGTTAGTATTCCCATCGTTAATATCCCTGATCTAGCAGAGCTAAGGGATATTACCAGGTTAGTATTCCTAGCGTTGATATCCCTGATCTAGCATAGCTAAGGGATACTGCTAGGTTAGAATTCCTAGCGTTGATATCCCTGATCTAGCAGAGCTAAGGGATACTGCCAGGTTAGTATTCCTAGCGTTGATATCATTGATCTAGCAGAGCTAAGGGATACTGCCAGGTTATCATACTATTCATAAGATAAGATAAGTGAAGGATCTGAAAACCCACCATCTTAGAGAGTCCAGCCCGCCATCGGGGCTAGCATCCTCGAGTTCCAGCACCCCCCGGCTCCGATGTTCTTGTCGTAGGTTATATAGGTTATCTACGGGTTTTTATAAACTTTTACTTTTTTAAACAAGACTTAAATTTAATACAAATCAAGAAATCATTGAATATTTTGTTTTATTTTATTTTCAAAAATTTAAACTGTATTGAATAGCGAGCAATGGTTGCACCACGTTGACATCGTTGAACCACTTCTCTTTTGCTTGAACATGCGGACAAACGAAGTAGTGAAATAACTCTTCCGCGGTTCAGCTACTTCTCGCTATTCGTTAAATCTTGTCAAAGATCCAGTAATGAGTAATATTCTTTTCATGATTTTCATAATTGACATTTTACAGAGGATCTCAGAAGGCAGAGGGTTCAGCTACAAAGAACCAAAAACCAACCAAGGACCATAAAGTCAATATTTAAAATAGTTTTGAATATAATTATTTTAATGGATTGTTTGCATTTTTGGAAATGAACAATGAACATAATGCCTTGATTTTCGATAATTGGAGCACAAGCTTTACTGCCGCACTCAACGAATGTATTGATTTTTGACTTATTGTTTGAATTAGAAGGATGTAAATATAGAATCTGTTGTTGATGTTACTAAACACATTGGCAACACTCCTTCGAGTGATTCGAAACCAGACACTTCACTTGTGAGTGATCAGAACTTAGAAAAAACACTTTTGTGTAATCAGAATCTAGATAAAACTCTTGCTGAAATAGACCAAGTCCCCAAAAGTGATCAACAGCCCGGTGAAACAATCTGTAGTGTTGAAAAGGGTAGTGTAAATCCTTGAAAAAGGATTCAAATATTAAATTTAGTTTTAAAATGTCTGCACTCGATATAGCACAGATTTCTGCGTGTTTGAAACAAATAAATTTAACTGAGAGAAGAAGGAGGGAGAGGTTGTGGTCAGTTGACATGAGAACTATAAATCAGGTAAAAGAAATAACTAGTTCTTACAGAATTACAAATAATAATTAACAATCAGAGATCAGAACTTTTGTGCGGATATTGTTAATTTCGATATCCAATGTCGGCACTTTATTTGAGGACCAATGCTTATTCTATCAATTTAAGTTATCTATCCGTGTAGAGGACCATCTCTAGATATTGAAAATGAATTAAATTGATCCGTAGATCTGCATAAGAGAAAGATGGAGATCAATGTTTGATTCCAAGATTCTAAACACAAAAGTTCTAACTTGTGGACAAACATTAAAGAATAAGGGTATTGATTAAATATTTATATGTACAAACTATAAATAACGTCTTATAGCTCTTATGCGACTATAACAGGAGGGGAGGAAGGCCAGCCACAACAATTTCTCGTCCGAGCCACATTCTCCTCATTTTCTCGTTCGAGCCACCTCGGAATCCTCGTCCTTCGACGATTATTTCGTGCTAAAAAGTTTCCAATTCTTGGAGTCAAAACTATTTTTTAAAAATTTGGCCACGTTAGGGCATAAAATATGCATGAACTAAAGTATTGCAATGATTATATCATGTTGGAATCTTCAAACCCATGAGAATGATGTCAAACTTTAATTAGGTAAAACTTAAATCTCTTCTGCCTCCGTAATGGCTAACCTTCGTGATATAAAATATATAGCAAAATATTCGGCATACCTCTGCCTATAATTTTCCCCATGGAACCACCCGGAAAAATTCTACGGTTTTCACTATAGTTAACAAAAAAGATTGAAGTTCTATAAACTTAGAATTATTTGCGACATTCTACACCAGGAATATCTGAAAATGCGCGTAAAAAAGGTGAACATTTTTAAAGACATCAAACATGAAATCTTTAATTCAATTGAAACTTTTCTTTTCGATTTACAAAAATTGGATATTTCATTGATGCCCTAACGTGGCTTGATTATTAAAAAATAGTTTTATTTGGAAGGATTAGACACTTAAAAAAAATAATATTGAAAGGACGAGGATTTCGAGGTGGCTCGAACGAGAAAATGAGGAGAATGTGGCTCGGACGAGAAATTGTTGTGGTTGGCCTTCCTCCCCTCATAACAGTAACTNCCCCCCCTCTCCTCCCTCGAATAAAATCTTTTGATCATTTTTGAAAAAAATCTGGTGATAGACATGGAAGATCACATACCCAAGGTCCCCGGAATTCCCACAAAAGTTTATTTTAAAAATGTATTATTTGTGTTTACTAGGTTGGTCTACTGGATCTTCCTGACTGTGTACTAGTATATATCCTTGAACTACTAGATGAAACTTCACGAACATCAGCTTGTTCTGCTAGTACTCAGCTTTTCAATTTATGGATAGAGGTAAGTATGAAGGCTTGAACCTTCATGCGTTTTGCCTCTTTGTGCTGGTTCTCTTTCATAAGCAAAATGTTCCTAGACCTAATCTCATTGAGCTCTCAGAGGGAACATTGTATGTTATTGTTTATTATTGATATCGTTAGTTTTTGTTTTTTATTGTTTGTTATTGTTTTTCATTGTTTGTTTTTGTTTGTTATTGTTTGTTATTGTTTGTTATTGTTTTTTATTGTTTGTTATTGTTTATTATTGTTTATTATTGTTTGTTTTTGTTTGTTATTGTTTGTTATTGTTTGTTATTGTTTCCTATTGTTTATTATTGTTATTGTTTGTTATTTTTTGTTATTGTTTGTTATTGTTTGCTATTGTTTATTATTGTTATTGTTTGCAATTGTTTATTATTATGTATTATAATTTATATTTTGTTATTTAGTATACTCAGGAGGAAAATGAGTTTCCCGTGATTTATGATGAAAATGAAAACTGTCTGACTTTAGGTAGGCTTAAGGACCCTCCATGCAAAGATGGCAATGCCTGAATTCCAACAGTATCTTTTAAACATTAATCTGATCAAAAATGTTAAAATACCGTCGTTTTTCTGACTCGAAAGTTGTTTATTTCCGTGAGCTTTTTCATTGCTTTCCTAAAACAAATAATGCGTAAGTCACTTTCCGAGAGAAACCTCGAATAAGATTAAACAGTTTAAAGAAACCAAAACGTTGTAAGTCAGACATTGGCGTGGAAGAACACTTGAAATTACGCTTGCAGACAAAATCTTTAAATCTAGATATTAATGCTTGTTTTTTTACTGTTTATGGGTTAATGATTAACCAAACAAACAAACAACACTTTATTGTAAAGAAGAAACAAATGTAAAATAAGGAGAAAAATATCATTCTAAAGATTTCACTAAAATGTCGTAACATTTCAACTATTTCACATGTTTTGTCTCTAGAATCAATCAATAAATCAATAAATCACATATAAGAAAAGGAAACAATTGGAAAAATAATCAAAACAGTGGCCGAATTTAAAAGAATTTGAGCGGCGGTTTAAATTTAAGCCGCGGTTTAAATATGGTTGGTTTCACTTAAAATTGTATCAAATGTTTCAAGATTTAAGCCGGCGCTTAATTTAAACCGGGTTTTGGCAGATTTAAACCGCGACTCAAATTCTTTAAATTCCATCTCAAGTTTTTTAAGACAACAATTTTCATTCTGAACACGTTCTAAAACACTAGATATATGTATGCCTTATTCAATTATGAATCAATCATATATAATAGAGAGAAAAAATGATTTGTAAAAATAATCAAAAAAAAGTTTTTTTTGAAGGTCACATTATTAAAGTTCAACTGAACACATTTTAAACCCCTAGATATATTAAAGCATTAATCAATCAATCAATCAATGAAACATTTATTTTGTAGAGAACCTGCCCGCTGATGTCCTTCTTGTTATATTTAAGTATTTGGATATATCAACCCTGGGTAGAGTTGCACAGGTAGATTACTAATATTAAATAATAGATATTGGTCTTTGCCATATTCGTTTGTCTGCAGTCCGAATCCACGTATTATATTAAAATTTTTGTTAAAACATGGCCTGAAAGGGACGTTATCTAATGTGACCTTTTATTTATAGAGTGACATGTTCGTTTCATAAAATTTGTATCAAGAAAATTAATGAAAGTATTGTCTGTTTCTATTTGTGGTTTATCTAGGAAGGGACGAAGTTATGTTAAATAGTCTTAATTGTTTTATACTCTTTCCCAGTTCCTAGTGCCCAGGAATGATTTCAACTTGATTCAGTCCATTGATCAAAATAATTTACTAAAAACATTTCTATTATTTGGTTGTAGTGTACCAGAGGGGAGAGAGAAGGGGGGGGTGGCTTGAAAGCCAAAAAGCATTACAAATTTGAATGAAATAAAAATCATGTGATGTATTCTGTTGGTGAGGAAATTACTGAGGTAGATTTTTAACACTTTAATATTTAGATCTGCGGTCTGGGGGTTCGGTAAACAGAATCAAAAAAAAGAAGACCCGGATCTTAAACGCTGTTTATTTAGGTGTGTAAGCTTTTCCGAAGCCTATCCTACAGTGATTTTTTGTGGATGCGAGCAGGAGCGAGTTCACTTGGTAGCAATCAGCTGGATACACTCACCACTAGCAAATCCCAGGTAGTTAAAGGGGTATATATTTTCTTTAAACATCATCCGACCGGCCCCTGTGGGTGTATTGTATACTGTATTATCATGAAAAATCAGTTAAGTATTTATTGGTTAAAAAAGGATTAAAAAGGAGGATGGGAAAATTTACTAATTAATGTTCAATTTTTTTATTTAATAACATTTTTTATTCAATAACATTCTTATTTAATAACATTTTTATTTAAAAACGTAAAAACGTTTTTTTTAATGAAATTTTTTATTTAAATTTATAAATGCTATTACTTCGTAAGTATATTTAAGAACAATATTAGCATCTTTGTCTTCTTTCTCCAGGCCAAGCTTGGAGCCCGGGAGAAGGTGAGAATTGGTGAAAACTGGAAGAATGGGAAATGTAAAGAAAACATACTGGCAGTACAGAACAACAAATATATGCCCAGGTAACCTCAGAATACGGTTATCAACCTGGTTATAATAATAATGGTTCACCTCTTTCAAATTTGTCATTTTTCAAATCTTATTTATTTTTAATTTCTGATATTAAAATTGTAGGAAGGGAGGCTTAATTTTTACTTGACATGTAAATAGTTAATCCTTCATATTTCCAAATTTATTGGGAGCGTCGTTGAATCTCAAGTTACCCTTCATATACAGAGGAACATGGCAGATTTAAACTGTACTCTCTTTTCACCTTTATTTCCTTTATTTGATTTATAATGTTGAAAATATCCTGGTTTGCCCAGCTGCCTAAAAAGTGCTCAATTCTGATGATATCACTCTTATGTTTTTGCAGTAGGATATGCCTAAGTCACTTGTAAAGAACTCACAAGTGAAAATGATGAATTTGTAAAGATAACTCATTCACTCGTGAATGTGAATCGTACCAGAACATCTGGAAAGTTACTGATGGAGAACCGGATATAGAAGAGGCCATGGTGGCAAAATATCTTGGGATGGAAATTAATATACAGGGCCAAAATCTAATCAAACCTCGCGAGTCCAAAATGATAAGGGGAGCACACACTTACGCTCACACTATCATGGGCTGCACTCGGTCAGGCTTGGATAGAGCTCTGACAGCCTATAGGCTATGGGAATCCTGTGCAATTCCAGGATTCTTGTATGGTACAGAGGCAATGGTCATATCCAAATCCACAGTTAAGGAACTGGAGAAAATCCATCATTTAGTTGCCTTGTTCATCCTGCAGCTTCCCCCGTCATCCTCCCAGGTAATGGGATGGATGGAGGCAGGCTTGCAACCCTTCCAGCAGCGCTTGGACACAAAATCTGTGCTTTTTGCTCATACTCTTATAACAGGGAGAAAGGATCAGCTTACAAAATCAGTAGTTGATACTACGTTGGCTGATAGGACAGACCCTTGGACTAAGAGAGTGCAATCTTTTCTGGAAGAGGTTGGCATACAGGACCTGAAGAATATCTCCAAGAGTATGCTCAAGAGACGGATATGGGAGTATCATGTTTCCCAGCTTCGGCAGGCGAAAGCAGGACACTCTTCAATGTGATGGCTGACAGAGCCTAGGGACTGGTTCAAACTACAGTCTCACATAAATGATTCAAAACAGTGTGCGGTTTTGAACCGGGTGGGAGCAGGTGATAGGCCTGGGAAATCGCCGTCCCAATCATCTGGGTTTGACGTATAAAGAGTGTCCTTGGTGCTCTGCAGTGGGTATCAGGGTGCTGCTGAATGAATTGCATGTCATCCTTGAATGTCCGGGATCAGGGCATGCAAGGTGGGCCACTGGAATCTATGCTTTCCTGGAGGCTCGGCTTCCAGTAATGACTGAGCATGCTATCATGAAAGAATTCCTGGGGGGGGGTTGGGGGACAGGGCAGACGTTGTTACAATGATGACGAAGGGATTGGACCTTGACAGTCTTTGAAGAGTGGAAATTAGCAACCACTCAGCTTTAAACAGGTAAGATCGGGTGTAGCTAGTGATAGGCTGTTGCAGGGTACGCATCGTGACTATGATCACGACTTTCCTCCAGGTTGTACCCCTCCTCGTAGTAGGTGGCCGGGCTGGTTCAGGATTTTTCTTACTGGTACGGGTCGGATAGTCCTGTAGGCGGTCTGGGTTGCCCAAGATGGGGCTTCTTGCAGATCTCATCTCACATAATCACATAATCACATGCCACTTTTTTTAAAAAAGAGTTACTTTAAATATCGACTACAGTTCCTATTAAATATTTTCCAGGCTTCAGCTTGAGAAGGATGTATTGTGGGTGTCCTGGGGAAAGACTATTTGGTGTCATCCCAGGGGGAAAGATGGTGCTATCAATCCTAAAACTAAACAGGTAAGATTAGAGGACAAATTTATATAATTTAAACCGCGTCGCTGAGCCGCTAAAAACCGGTTCCGATTAAGCGCCGGCTCAAATCTCAAAACACTGAATACAATTTTAAGTGGAACCAACCATGTTTGAGCCGGGCCTCAAATTTAAAACGTGACTTTTTTTTAATTCGGCATCGGCTTTTGTGAGGTTCCTTTTTTAAGCTTATAAATGGACCGACAGCGCAGCGTAAACTTTGACAAATGACGACTGTTTTTGACCCTGCCTGCGACAATATTTGACTCTGCCTGTGACAATATTTGACTCTGACTTCGTCAGTATTAGACTCTGCCTGCGACAATATTTGACTCTGCCTGCGACAATATTTGACTCTGCCTGCGACAATATTTGACTCTGACTTCGTTAGTATTTGACCCTGCCTGCGACAATATTTAACTCTGACTTCGTCAGTATTTGACCCTGCCTGCGACAATATTTGACCCTGCCTGCGACAATATTTGACCCTAACTTCGTCAGTATTTGACCCTGACTGTGTCAGTTGTATTTGACCTTGACTATGTCCGTATTTTACACAGACACTGACTGCATCAGTATTTGACCCTGACTGCGCAGTTTTTGACCCTGACTGCGTCAGTTTTTGACCCTGACAGTGATAGTATATAATCTCCTTGACTGACAGTACTTAACTCCCCTGACTAATATTAATAAACCTCTGATTGCGACAGTATTTTACCCCCTTGACTGACAGTACTTAACTCCCCTGACTGTGACCGAATTTGACCCAACTACGTCCGTGTTTGACCCCCCTATTGCGACCATATTTTACTGTGACTGATGATATTTAGCCCAGACTGCGACTGTATTTGACTCTTGACTGTGTCCGTATTTGACCCTGATAGTGACAATATTTAACCATCTTGACTTACAGTACTTATCCCCCTGGCTGTAGTAGTATAAAACCCCTGATTGTGACAGTATTTAATCCTCCCTGACTGGGACCGAATTTGACCCTACTGCTAACGTATTTGACTCCTAATGCGAATGTATTTGACCCTGACTGCTCGTATTTCTAGATGTTCCGAGGTCATACAGACGACGTGAGTAGGTTCGTGGTAGGTCAAGGTATGCTGGTCAGCGGAGGTCGGGACAGGTCAATATGTGCCTGGAATTCAGCGACTGGAGATTTTATGTTTGCAAGGTGAACTAAGAGGAGTCGATTTTTACATTTGTATTTGAAATATCTAAACCGTAAATGTGTTGTATCTAGAGAGCTTTTAGAAAAAAATTGCCATGCAAATAATACTGATCATACAAATTTATATTTTTTCATTTCAGTATTTTCAAAATCCCAATTTTTTAGGATTGCCAATTTTTCACTTTTATGGTTACTTTTTCACCAAAAATTGTATTTGTTCCCTTAAAAATTATCAATTTTACCCTATTTAGCGAATTGAACCCTGAAAAGCCTAAACTTTTGGAGAGAGAAAAATGCGTTTTCAAATGTAAGAGGGGAGGGGATTAAAGTTTAAGAAAATATATACCCCCGTTTTATTTTTCGGTATTTTAGACGATACTGTCATAACAGTGAGATAACAGCTGTTGATGTGACAGGGAAGGGTAGAATACTAGTTTCTGGTTCTAGAGATAAATCAATCATTGTTTGGAGGATAGAACAGGAACAGGAGTTCAAACCTATACTTGTCAAACAGGTTGGTTGGTTTGGTTCGGTTTGCTGGGTTCTTTTATTGTTAATTTATTTGTTGTTGGGTTCCGTAGTTTAGTTTATAATGAATGATTTGTGTGAGAAAGACGATAAGCGTTAAAATAAAATTATATTTTTCTTCTTTTTCCCACTAGTTTTGAAAGAAATAAAGAAAGAAGAAATAAGATAAAATAAAAACATTACATAAAAAAATTAAATCGTTTTATTTTAAGAGTTCGATTATGAGATTAAAAATAACTTAAAAATTATAATACGAGCGTGCCTTAGCTGATTAGGATATCGTTGATTCGTTGCGTATTTGCTGAAAATGATCTGTTTAAAACTTTGATTCCTATACCAAATTTCATACACATATATCAATTTCTCGAGACTGTAAAATCAGAAAACATTCATACAGGTTGCGATCAATTCCTGAAGTGTTAAGGTTTCTGCATATACCCCCTCTCATTTTTCCTTAACATTCCCTTTAATAATGCTGAAAAGTACCGTAGACGTTATAACCCTCCTTTTAAAGATTGGTATTCTTGATGCACAACAGGGTCCTTTAAATATTTATCTGTGCAACAATGGGGAAGATATCATGGTTTTCCCATCTCATAAGGTGCTAAATTCTGTAAATTCTGGTCCTTGTCTCTGCACCATAAAATCCGCAACTCAATTTTACAGAGAAGCAAAAGTTAGAAATTATCAAGTTTTAAGATAGAAGTACAAGATATTTTATCATTTTTTGCTCAGACACTGGTTTAAAGGGTACCGTTGTGAATCGGACATACCCTCTTTTTTTCTTCTAAATTTTTTGTTTAGCTTGGTATTAATGAACGCGTCTGGAGTTTAAGTATAAACCAGGAGACAGGGTTTACTATGGTTGGTACAGCAGGTACTCGCGGAGTTCCTCCTCTTCGTCTTCTTGATCTTCATCAGGGGCAGGTTCTACTAGACCTTGGCAGGGAACTAAGGTACACCTAGTTTTCAGAATTTATTTATAAACTAGCTGAAGTGCCCGGCATTGCACGAGGATTAGAAAGAATTCTAATTGTTAAATTATGGATTCCCTAAAAAAAATTCCGCCAATTTGGTCCAGCCGGTTGGCCATCTGTAGATATATTCAAATACATATTTGAGCGAAGAGCTTTATTATAGGGGCTATATCATCTTTCTATCTAGGAATGGAGCTTGTATCTATCTTATTTATCTAGATATGGAATTACTATATATCTATCTTTCTATCTTGAAATTGAGCTGGTATCTAATTTTCTAGGAATGGAGCTTAACAATTTTATTATGTACTTATCTATAAATCTAGGAATGAAGCTAGTATCATCTATTTATATTTCTATCGAGGAATAAAGCCGGTATCTGTCTATCTAGGCATGGAGCTAGTATCTGTCTATCTAGGAATGGAGCTAGTATCTATCTCTCTTCCTAATACTTTCCCCTGCGCCTACCTATTGGACGAAACACCTCCAATTGTATGATTCAAAAATTATATCATACAATAACATCCGGGTTTGGCTTGGCAAATCCCGTCATTAAAGTGTTTAAAGATTATATCTATGTAAAATTTTGTACTTTAATGATAATTATATATAATTCTATCTATCTATCTATAAATCTGGGAATGAAGCTATTATCTATCTATCTATATTCTAGATATTAAGGAATTAAGCTATTATCTATCTATCTAGGAATGAAGCTATTATCTATCTATCTAGGAATGGAGCTGGCTGGTATCTATCTATCTAGAAATGAAGATATTATCTATCTTTCTAGGAATGAAGCTATTATCTATCTATCTAGGAATGGAGCTGGTATGCTAGATTTGACCTGGTTGACCGGCAATACTCTGCTCAGCTGTGGCTATGATACATGTGCTAGGCTCTGGGATACAAGGTGACACAATCTAAAAGATTTTATTTCTTGGTGGGGACATAATTCCCTTGTTTAATTTTTGTTGCTAACATTTACGTTCGACAATTTTCTCATTGATAAGAACAAACTGTAGACATATTTCATAGGACTCTCCATCTCAGATATTCTGGCATTAACTAGTGTGTATAATTTCTTTGTTTTCTTGCTACCCTTATCCATTTATTTTTGTTATTACATAGTTTATTTTTTCTGCTTTTTAACGTATATACCGTTTATTTTTTATTTTTTGTTTTGTTCATTACATCATGGGTTTTTTCACACGATGTGTGTTTTCCCTCACAATCCTTGCAAACAAGGGGGGAAAGGATTAAAGAAGTGTCAATGTTTAAATCCTAAAATAAAAAATATCATTTGAATTTTATAAGATGCGGAACCTATGTGAGTACCTGGGAAGAACCTTACGACGAATCAGGTATTAAAAATATTTTTTTGATTTTATTTTTATATTAAATCTCCTTCCCCCTTCCTCCGTTTTCTTTTCTTTTGATTCTTCACATAAAATTATTCCTTTATGGCGCGATTGGCGATTGGATTTTCATGTAGGGTTCCCTTTCAGATCTTTCCAGAGGCGTAGTCAGGGGGGCTATGGGGGCTCATCCCCCCCCCCCTGAATCTGTAAAATGTATGGATTTCAGAGGGTTTTTAGGCCCCAACGGTTGCTGAGTCCGCTCTAAGCCCCCCGGCACCCCCCCCCCTTGGAAAAATTCCTGACTACGCCCCTGGATCTTTCAATTATTTAATATTGACATCCCCCTTCCCCCTCCCATCCCCCCTAATGAAAAACTTCAAACACATATTAAGGGATGAAATAATGCAGATGTTATTGTTTTAAAATATCGAGAATTTTAAAAATAATTTGTCATACTATTTTTGAAAGAATGCTTGAAAGGATTGTAGCGCTAACATTTAGATTCTCCTTAAACCGTTTTTTAAAATTAATGACCGGCTGGAAGTAATAATAAACAGAGGATGAAAGGATGAATAAACTGTGTACTCATGGTGTGAACTGTCTGGAGAAAGGATGAATGAATGTATGTTAAGTATTCAGCCTGTGTACTCATGGTGTGAACTGTCTGGAGAATAAATGAATAAATGAATGTATGTTTAGTATACAGCCTGTGTACTGATGGTGTGAACTGTCTAGAGAATAAATGAATAAATGAATGAATGAAAGGATGAATGAATGAAAGGATGAAAGGATGAAAGGATGAATGAATGAATGAATGAATGAATGAATGAATGAATGAATGAAAGGATGAATAAATGAATAAATGAATAAATGATTGTATGTTTAGTATACAGCCTGTGTACTGATGGTGTGAACTGTCTGGTGACCGGAACCTCGAGACATGGCAGGGTCAGGGTCTGGGATCTCAGGTTGGGTTAAATAAATGAAGTGATTGATTGATTGAATGAAGAACGATTTATCTCGATATCCAATGGGGGAGGGGGCACTTTTAAATTTGAAGATAAATGCTTAATCTCTAAATGAAGGTTATCACTGCAGGGTGTTACCACTGACCACCACAAAATATCGAATATTGAGTTAATCCGTAGATCTGCACAAGATGGAGATCAATGCTTGATCCCAAGATTCACATCATAAAATTTCTGTCTTCAGAGCTGAAAACTCTTGTATTGGATACCCTGAATCCCGATTGCTAAATCTCTGTATCCAGTGTGGACACTTTTGATTTTCTGCTTAATCCTTTCTTTTGGATATCCCTGCTGGATTCAGACCAATGAGTGTTCTCTTATTGATTGATTGCGCGCCCGAATTTAGGCAATATTGTGTTTTTAATTTCAGGTGTACTAAACCACAGTACATGAAGTACGCTTCCCCTGCAGTACGCGGGCGCTCCAGTCCAGTCTACAGGTAAACAAACAAACAGTTGAACAGATTTGCCGGTTGTTGACAGATTGAAGAACTGACATTGTGCCAAATAGACAGAGCGGCAAACTGACAACACTTACTTTTAAATGGACAGATTGAAAAATAAGAATTATGGTGATTACTTGATTGATTGATCAATTGATTGATTGATTGATTGATTGATTGAGTGAGTGAGTGATTGATCGAATGATTGATTGATTGGTTGGTTGATTGATTGATTGATTGGTTGATTGATTGAACGCTTAATATTTGTTTAGTCTTGTGATGGATTCTGGTAATATCTACGCGGCCCTTGACCAATCCTTAAATCATTTTGGATTCATGAATCCATAGAAATATAGGATCTAAGGATCCATAGTAATATGGGATTCAAGGTTCCAAAGAAATATGGGATTTAGGGATCCATAGTTATATGGGATTCAGGGATCCATATTTATATGGGATTAAAGGATCCCAAGAAATATGGGATTCATGGATTTTAAAAATATGGATTCATGGATCCATAGAAATATAATATTCAGAGGAATGTTAAACAAAAAGGTAGAATTCAATTATCCAAACTAATATTGGATTATTGGGTTCAGAGAAATAGTTCGATTGGCTTCATGAACTCAAAGAAATATTGAATTGGATTCATGAACTCAAAGAAATATTGGAATTGGATTAATGAATTAATAGAAAAATTGAAATTAGATTTATGAATTTATAGAAATATTGAAATTGGATTTATAGATTTATAGAAATATTGAAATTGGATTCATAAATTTATAGAAATATATACATAGAAATGATGAAATTCAAAATATATCTTGGGAAAAATTTAAATTTTTTGCATAGAAAAACTTAATGGTCCTTAAATAAATGTTGTTTAATCCATTAATTAAATATTCTTGGTGTATTTTACTTCAGTTTTGGGTATTCCTTTTCTGTCTGATTGCAAATTTAGTTTCATATCTGTAAAAAAATAGTTGTCATTAAAAAGTTCCTAGTAAACTGTACTTTTTGCACATTGAAAAGTTTCATCAGTACATTGTACAGTTTTCTCCGTACATAGCACACTGCACATTTACTGTACACTGTACAGTTCACATAAAATATAGGGAAAGTACATTGATCCCAGTATTTAAATGAATTTTCAACAATTTAAGATTTGAACAAGAAACTAAATTATGATGATAAATATGACATCAAATTCTAATGATTTTGAGACTTCAAAGAAATGTATTTCTATCTACGATGGTAGGCGATTATATCAATATAAAGAAATCGAATTATTTTAATGTTATAATTGTTAACAAGCTTTTCTTTTGAATTACAAGTTTACAAGAAATTACAGGGAAGCTTTTGTAATTGACAGTTTCTCGTTGTTTCATGCATGTTTTTGTTTATCCATGCTCAGGGCGTACGCGTGCCCCCCCCTGAGAGGCTGAGAGGGGGCACCCATGAGGGAGGCTCTTTTAATATTACATCTGCTTGCATTTCCCTTCCTCAGGCCAGGCACAGTGGCGTACCTAGGGGGCAGTAGTCCTGTTGCCCCCCCTGGGAGTTCCAGGCGGGGCACTGCCCCCCCTATAAAATACAAAATTAAATGGAAACTACGATTAAAAAGTAACACCTGACAATGACAAAGACTAAGGATTTGTCTAAATTCATTGTTAATACAAGGAGAGAAAAGTTTTAGCCTTTTAAAGAGAATACTTCATAACACAAGATGTACTATGACGGAGAGCAGACTTAACGATCTTGCACTTAAAGCTTTATACCCTAAAAGGCTGTCTGAGCTCTCTACTGAAAAAATCATTGAAATGTTTGTGCAAGCAAATCCCAGAAAATTGAAGCTTAAAAGAGTTGGTGAGTATGTAGATTGAGTAAATTCTATCTAAAAAATTCAGAAGAAATTTCGTGTTTTAGTAATTTTATGGTGAACAAAACAAGTCCAGGTGGGAGGGGGGCAAAAAAAAATAAAAAAAGGTATCAATATTTTTTCAAAAAAGGGGTTTTTAAGGGGGGGCATACTGTTGCCAAGGGGGGGACCCTAAATTTTTTTTTTGCGCGCTTACGCGCGCAAATTGTGCCCCCCCTAAACAAAAGCCCTCGTACGCCCCTGTCCATGCTGTTTAAAAGCTTTAAATAAATCAAAATTGAAATCGAAAGTCATCTCCATTATATTGATATAATCGCCTATCACCACACTAAAAATTATTTCCGTGTGCAATTCTTAATGTTTAACTATTACACAATGTGTTAAATCTTACTTCTTGTTAAAGTATTATGAAATTATATATATAACATTTATATAAATTTGAATTTTTGTGAAATACACTTATACCTGTGTTAAAATATAATGAGTGGAAAACTCGGTCATTTTATGAAGAAGATAGTAATTTTACTGATTTTTTATCCAGAAAACATGATCTTGCGACATATTAAATGATAATATCACAAGATCGGCGATTCCCTGAAATATGGTCACTGGTCAGCCTTTGTTTAGTACTAAACATAAAAATTATATACATAAATGAAAATTTATATTAATATATATATTTAATATAATTCAAAAAGATTTTTTTAAGTAAAACAATGAAGAAATGATTGATTTCGTCCGGGGTTGTTGCCAGGGACGCTAGCAAAGTTCTGTGGCTGCAACTGTGGCACAAATATAGATGAAACAAACTGCAAAAAAATAGTGTTTGTTTAAAATAAAGACAAACAAAATTATAGTTGTTAATTTCTATTCGTGTTGCCATTTTTAAAGGATAGAGGAATACCTACGACTGGGGGTATAAAAAAAACAAATGCGAATAATTCGGGAGGAAAAAATGCGAAAATTTGGCGAAAAAAGTACGGGAGAGAAATTATTAATTATGATATAATAAGCTCTTAGAGCAGAAAATTCCACAAGTTTTTTCGCGCATTGAATTTTTGCAGCTATGGTTTTCGTGAAAAAATTTGGAAAGTACGAACGAAATTTTGCTCGTTAATTCGCCAAAGTTTTTGTTCGACGGAAACCCTAGTCACAAACAAACGGACAAGAAATCAAATATATACACTGTTACCCGCAAAGGATGAGAATTCAAAGACGACTGTACGGAACCTATTTTTTACATTGATGACTTTCTAATTGCTTTAAACCTAACGTATTTTTTGCATAAGAGACTACATTTAGGAACAAAGACTAGATTCAAAATTAAGGAGTTTCAGTTCGTTAAATTATAGTCTCATCATATGTGGGTAACTTAGTGAATGTTTTTTCTTTGACCCCCTGTAGCAAATGAAGCTAGAGAATTGAATCTAAAACAATTGTTAACTCCATTAAACTGATTTAATTCTAATTGAGCAGTTAACTTTGTACATCTCAATCCTTCTACTCCAAAGAAGAGAGATGGGGGGGGGGAGCCTAGGGACTGGTTCAAACTACAGTCTCACATAAATGATTCAAAACAGTGTGCGGTTTTGAACCGGGTGGGAGCAGGTGATAGGCCTGGGAAATCGCCGTCCCAATCATCTGGGTTTGACGTACAAAGTGTCTTTGGTGCTCTGCAGTGGGTATCAGGGTGCTGCTGAATGAATTGATGAAAAGTGTAATGTTTTATTATACTTACATTTAGTTCCCTTAACTTAAAAGAAAGGATAATAGTTGGACACTATCAGGATAAAAAGTGCTCTTATTAGATATTTACAAAGAACTTGCATAGCTCTGTTTACCTTTTAAAGCTATATGTCTGATCAGGAATGAACGCCATGAGCCTCCGCTATGCAATGAATTTCTAAATATCTCTTAAATAACTTTTTGAGTCGATATGAATAACAAATCCTCACAATCAATAAACAACATTAATCATAAGTAAAATTCTTATCTATGTTGAAAAAAAATTAAAAATTCTAGCAATTTAAAGAAGCTGTGCTGTATAGCAGTGGCACGTTTACTGCATAGTGGAGGCTCTTACTGCATGGTGGAGTCTCTTCTGCATGGCAGAGGCTCAGTCTGCCTATTAAATCTGGGAGGCTCGTGTCTGCAGGGCAGAGGCTCATGGCGTCTGGTTCCCTCCCTCGTACGAGACATCCATTCTTTTCAACTGTGGTATCTTTATATAGTAACGCACATTTTTGCGTCAGGAACAATAGAAGTAATTGTCAGAATTAAACACTCCAAGTTAGAAGACTAAAACATCTTCCATATTCCTGATCTGATAAAGGTATAACTGTTTTTAATCCATGATTCGAATTATAAATTTTTTGCTCATTTTTGAAATAAGCAGAACCTAATGTTTAAAAATTCTTTTAAATTGAGACACCCTTGTGTACAGGAAAGATATTGCTTTACTCTTCGATGTTTACAAGAAAGATAAACTGAACTATTTACAAGCTGAATACTACCCTACTCTGAACTGTATACAAGCTGAATACTACCCTACTCTGAACTGTATACAAGCTGAATACTACCCTACTATGAACTATATACAAGCTGAATACTACCCTACTATGAACTATATACAATCTGAATCCTACCCTACTCTGAACTATATACAAGCTGAATACTACCCTACTATGAACTATATACAAGCTGAATACTACCCTACTCTGAACTATATACAAGCTGAATACTACCCTACTCTGAACTATATACAAGCTAAATACTACCCTACTCTGAACTATATACAAGCTGAATACTACCCTACTCTGAACTGTATACAAGATGAATACTACCCTACTCTGAACTAGATACAAGCTGAATACTTCCTTACGCTGAACTATATACAGTCCTAACCAGAAAACTCTGGAATAGGAAGACGTCATAATAGCATTTTTGAAGTGCATTTTATGTCGTTTAAAGCAAATAGCTTTACTTGAAAGTTATTAAATTACTTATTAAGTAAAATTGATCTGTTTACATTGCTCAATTGCTGTGCCTCATGTTCCATGCGCTATTTAAAGTCATATCTTGAGTTTAAAAGTCGACTTCTTATTCCAGAGTTTTCTGGTTATCGCTGTATATTTATATATATGAGCTGCCTGAATACGATCCTACTCTGAACTATATATATATATATATATAGAGTTCAGGATTTATGAGTTTATGTCAGTGTATAATTGACAAGTGCAGTGTGAACTCAATGATGCAATTTGTGCGAGACAAATTATTATTTTATTTTCGATTTTTCATTTTTTATCGTTAATCTTGTCATTACAATTAATTTTTTTTTTCATTCTGAAATTTGAATTCATTTCTAATATTTGTAGTTTTATTAATGTTATCTCTTCGGCGCAATCACTGTATAGCAGTGTACATTGAACATTACTTTTCTATGTTCTTTCCTCAGCTAAAAACATCTTATTATCATTTTTTCGAATACTAACGCATCAAAGGACCCATCACAGTTGAAGGGACCATTGTGTCAGCGTTAAATGGGTCATATGTTTAAAAGAGTTACATGCCCGATTAACAAAATACCCTTAAAAGCATTATCCAAGTAACAATGATAAAAATATTGTTGTTTTTAAAGGAGATAATTTGTAACAATTTTCATATTTACAAATAACTTTCCAGCATAAATTAGCAAATCATTTATTAGAAAACCCCCAATAAAAAGATTTAATTTTTAAAGGAATTTGTATTTTTTGCCGATTCAAAGAATAGGAGGGTACAGTTGTGAATTCATTTGAAATAACGTCTTTTTAAAAAAATTATTTCAGTATCTAATGAAATGTTGAATTTAAGTTTAAGCATTTTGCTGATTTATTCGTTGCTTGTTCGTGCTCAATCGAGGTAAGTGTATTTTTTCTTAAAGATTTTCGTTCCGTGTTTTTTGGTTACTACCAGTGTCTTATTAATTAGAACAATGTTCGATTGAACTAATGTTCATTTGGACTAATGTTCAAAAAGACTGAAGTAGCTCAAATGAACAGTCTAGCAGGTCGGGTGCTGCGGCTACTGAACAATGTGAAGTGAGAACTAGAAAACTGTGAAATATTGGAAAACAGCATAAATGATAAAAGCAATTCTTTAGAGTATTTGATGTTGTTACAAACCAAATATATTTACTACGTAGTAGCTTTTAAACCAATTAAGCTGTCTAAGTCTTTGTACATTGCACAATTGTACTGTTTTATGTTCTTTAGACTATTCAAAATTCAGAATTTTAGCATAAAATTCGTCTTCCTTTTCCACAGGTTTCTGGGAGACTGGGTCTCACTTGTAGTTCAGTTGATCACATTGAATGTGGAAGTTTGTTCATTACACACTTAACATGTTTAAATTAACAGAGGTGAATTTAGTGCAAATGAACGTTAGTTTTCAATCGGTCCTATCGATATCGTATTTTTTAGAAAATGAGGGCGTTTATTGCAGTTATCTTTCTCACATGTTACTTTTTAACCCTAATTAGCCTGACATCTTTTTTAATGACTGGTTGCCTGGGGGGGGGGGGTCAAATTAACCCCCTCCCTTTTTTTCTTATGATGATACAAATATGTAACATTTGATACCTTTTTGGAAAGCCCTTTAGCTCTACTACAATGTAAAAAATTTGCAAAAATCCAAATATTTATTGCAATACCTAGTAATTAAGAAAAAAATGTGCAAAAAAAATTGCGCACATTGCAACAAATTATACAATTTTGCAGGGTGTATGAAATTCTCCCCCCCCCACGTCCCCGGGGAGGAAAGAAATCATCAACCCAAGAGGAGGGGAAGGAAAGGAAAAAGTGAAGGGAAAAGGGAAAGAAAAGGGAAAATGACAGGAAAAGGAGAAGGGTAACAGCGGAAAAAAGGGACGGGAGGGGGAAGAGAATGAAGTGGATAGGAAGGGACGGGGAAGGTTGGGCGGAAAGGAGAAGATTGAGAGGGAAAGAGGAATATAGGGAACTACGGAAGGGACGGGGAAGGTAGGGTAGATAGGGAAGGGGAAGGTAGAAAATCGATCTGGAAGGTTGACAGATAAAGAAGTGAAGGAAAAGGAAAAATAGAGAAAGGGACGGTCTGGAGCTCTTTACCTCTACAAAACTACATAATTTTATCTAAAATCAGAGAGTTTTGCATAAATAATTTCCCCCAATAGTTAAAATGGTTTTACTGCATAACAAACATGATAAAAGAATGTTCATTACTTCTTTAATTTTTAAAACCTAAATGGGTATTCAAGAAAAACTGAAAATGTGCAAATTCCCTTTATAGGCGTCAGTGCAAAAATCTGTGCAAAGTTTCTCTACTTCCTTTTGTAAAAGGCTTTTCAAAGAGCTATAAAATGTTGAAATCCAATGACTGGAAGTAGGTCTAAATATAGATTTGGTCTGGTATAGGTTAAATAAGGAGTTTATGCAGTATGCCTGAGGACTGACGGGGATGTATTCGTTATAAAAGCCAGAAAATATGGGCGTCCTAGCTTTAACACTTTTTGAATAAAAAAGCCCCCCCCCCCCCCCCCGGCCAAATAGGGTTCAGCGTTCAGAGCTTTTTTTCAAGATTTTGGATGATTTTATTAGAGGGCATATAATTAATTGGACATCAAATGCAAGATGAAGAAAGAAGTTTGCGAGAATTTCCCTTTTTTACCGATTCCCATTTTACTAGTGTGAATACATTTTTTCAACCTTTGAATTTGATAAATTGTCTACTGCAGGATTGGATTGGAGTTATGTGATGGATTCAGAAACTCAATACTTCTTAATACTCCAGGTGGAAATTGGTCTACAGGGTTAACCGCAACGGATGAGACTTCAGAGACGACTGTATGGAATTTATACTGTCTGTTTCCTTCCCTGCATGATTCCCTGCAACTGTAGATTTATTTTTGATCAAATTTTAAGAATTTCAGGTCGTCTTTACTATCTCATCCTTTGAGGATAACCCTGTATTCTCTGAATTAAAAAAATAATATTTGTTTAATTGTTAGACGCTGAAACCTTCTTCAACGGGTCAGTTATAAAAGGTAAGAAAAAACTTTAAACTCTCATTTTGACAATTTTTTATTTTGATGAAATTTGCTATAAATCAATTAATCTTGCAGCATGCATTGCTTATAAAAGAGAATACAGTTTGTAATCATCAATAGTAAGCATAAAGTGATTCATTTTTAAATTTGAAGCTTGCACATTTTTAGTCGTAATGCACAGCTTTGTAGAAAACACAAAGGAATTGAGTTTTTGCCACACCCTTTGATTTTTTAATCCCAATATCTTTGCAACCCAATGTTGTAGACCTTAGATATTTCAAACTATTAATTCTGTTATATCAAATAATCTAAGTTTAAAATATTAAATGTTTGCACCATCAGGTTGCAAAGATATAGGAATTAGACCATATGAGTTTGTGACTAAGACTCAGTTTCTTTGGTTGTCATTTTTTTATCGTTTGTAAAAAGATTGTCGTTGTTCTAATCCAACTATTTTTTATATTATTTCATATTTGTGAGGTGGAGGATGTATTTTTCCGACAAGGATTGTAATTATCGGATCTCAGGTGAGGTTTCAGCCATTTTGATTTTTGAAAAATTTAAAATCATTAATTAGATCATTAAGATTTAATAATACATGAAGAAGGCAAGTATTGGCCTTTAGAAGCTATAGTTAAATAATTTTAAATTTGAATTTTTATCTAAATTTGTTTTTTCCTACATAAAATGTTCATAGGAATTTTTATGAATTGCTATCTGTGGATTAGGAAGACGACATTTAAGCAATCTAGGGAGCAGTTTTATCATGTAGCTTTCAAATATAGTTTTTAATGAATCTGTGTACACTGTACACTGCACACCTACTGAGTTTAATTTCATCATAACTTTGGTATAAAAGTCGATTTTCTCAGTCCTTCCAAAGTGTTATGAGTCCCACTGCAGAAAATGTTTAAAAATAAAGTTTATTTAACAATTATCATGTTTGTTGGTTCTCCCTGCAGGGTGCTGGTAAATCCTCGCTTGCCAACAGTTTCCTAGGCTGGGATCTAACCTACGGAACAAGGAACCGGTTTTTGTATAAAAAAAAATACAAAATGGCTGATGCTTCTTATTAACTTGTTCCAGGGGATCATCAACAAAATGTCCAGTGATCCTCAAAAAATAAAATAAAATAAACTTCAACTGGTACCCTCCAAACCTTTATTCTTATGTTTATTCTACCTTAGAGATGATGTTATGTAATTCTTCACAGCAAAAACTATATAAAAAATGGCTAAGATTTGTTCCATTAAAAATAGAAATACAAAAATACCTCTACGTCATCCTTTAATATCAGAAAAAGTGTGAAAGGGTATAAGATTTTATGGTCTATCTCTAAAATTATTGAAAAACTATTAATTAACTTAACGAATAAAATCTAAAAATCAACCAGTGGAGAGCTTCCCTTCCACGTTGGCCATGGAGTAGAGGTAACAATTAAAAACTAATAAATCAATTTATTTGAAACTGTACTAAAAGCTTAATCAATCAATCAATCAATACATTTTTAAGAAAAACCTTCATTTTGAATGTCAATCCACAAATTGCAATAAAAATCTATCGATTGGCAAATTCGTAAATAAGTTTGATAATCAATTCATCAATTGGCAAATTAATAAATAAATTGAAAATAAATTCATCAATTGGCAAATTTATTAATAAGTTGGAAAATTAGTTTATCAATTGGCAAATTCATCAATATTTGTAAAATAAATTTTTTAAATTGGCAAATTCATCAATATTTTGATAAATCAATTTATCAATTGGCAAATTCATCAATATTTTGTAAAATCAATTTATTAATTGGCAAATTCCTCAAAAGTTGGAAAATCAATTCATTAATTGGCAAATTCATCAATAAGTTGGAAAATTAATCCATCAATTTAAATAAATTTATACTACATCATTTATATATGTATGTATATCTTTGTGTGTGAATAAATTTTCATAATAATAATGATAAGTTTTAAAATCAATTTATCAATTGGCAAATTCGTCAGTAAGTTTAAAATCAATTTATCAACTGGCAAATTCATCAATAAGTTTAAAATCAATTTATCAATTAGCAAATTCGTCAATATTTGTAAAATTAATTCATCAATTGGCAAATTCGTCAATATTTTGTAAAATCAATCCAACAATTGGCAAATTAATCCATCAATTTCCAAATCAATCAATCAATAATTTACATAATTATTTAATCAATAATCAAGTTTAAAGGAATCGTTCAGAATAAAACTATTTGTAAAGCGAGGGTAGGAAATTCAAAGTCAGGTCAACAACTTATTTTTTAAATATTTCCAGGCAGGAACAAGATCAAGCTCATACGCTAGCGGAGCTTGGCTAGGTAAAAACATTTCTTTTTTGTGAAATTGCGCTAGTCGATCCTTGATCTTGATATCCACCATGATAACTTGAAAACTTTGAAGGTTAAGTGATTGCAATTTTACTTGACAGGGTACTAGCACCACAGCTTCTATATAGGGTATCAAAGAGGAATTGATTTAATCCATAGAAACTACTTATCCCATGATTTTCAACACACAATTTTTGACCTCAGGTTCAGGGTTGGCTGGTTCAGTATTGATGTCCATATACGCCATGTATTATCCTAAAATTTTCGTATCTGTGTGTTCTTTATCCTAAATCAGAAACGCTATCCGAAAACGCTATCCGACATTTCAATTCTATTTCAATTTTGTCTGTTCGCTATGTATCACTATCCTAAAATAACATCATCACGTCTACCATTATCCTAAAATTTCATCAACGCTATCCTAAATTGATTTAAATT